ACTGGTTGGGTTTGGTGGGGAAAAAAATTCAGTGCAAAAGAGAAACCCCGATAAAGAAAGCCTAAAAACACGCTAAAAATACCCCCAAAACCCAAACCTCTGCTTGGAGAGTAGGTTTTTCTTTGATGAGCCATTATCCCTTTCCAGAAGGCAGAGCACTGTCCAGTAACCTTGGTTATGTAATAATTACCAGGACTTTTCTAAACTTCAGACAATCATTGCAGCGTAATCTTAGGACAACATTTCACTGTATGAAATGCCAAGTGTTATTTCGTGACTTTGACATCAAATTTTATATCCTGAACCCAGAAAACAGTTGAGCAGTATGTCAATATGAACACAACGTACTCCACATCATGAAGATCATATAATTATCTATTGATAATATTCTAACATAATCAATTCTGGATGTCAGGTAAAGATGGGATGAATAGTGGTTTGCTGCATTTCGGGTTTTTGTGTGCTCAAGTCGTTTCTGGAAGCACGTCAAGATATTTCAAAGGAAATTCGTAATGTTTTTTGGTGTGATCTGATGCATAAATTATGTGACCTGCATCAGGTCAACCCATGTACATCTAAACCTCAAAACAATACACGGCTAGCTCAATGCTAACGTTATGATTAAGACACGTCGGTGAACATTAGACATCCAGGTAATAAGATACAATTACTCAAGCAACTGAATATGATTTTGGAGACGGTCATACGTTTCAGGTAGCATTCACTATTTTCGTCAGTGACAGTGGAGTGTTGTCAGAAAAGCAGGTTTATAAGTACGATCTATAAATAAGATATTTGTACTGATCAAACTACATGTATGAGAAGATTTTCAAAACGAATGCTTTTTTTCTATCCAGTCAACGGTAAACTGTTGCGGAAGATGAAATAGACAGGTCGTATATTAGAAGAAACGATGTAAATTATGGGGCCGGGAGCCCACACGATATGTCCTTCAGCCCTTCAGTAGTATATTGTTGACTGTCTGTTTGAATGCCACCAAGTAATTGTGCCCCTGAAAGGGTCACTAGTGTCAACCTCGCACAATGGGTGTCTACCGCCCCAGGGCAGTTCTACCGTACACAGTACAGATACAGATCCTCTAAAATGATCAAGACTTGGTTGGAAAACATGATCGGTACACTTCAAAGAACTGCATCCATCTAAAAAAATATTACTTCATACAACGCACCACGTCAGGTCTTCTTCAAGGCATCCATTGAAATTTCAACTCTTACTAACTTGTACTTGTAAGTAATTTCAAATTGACAAAAAATATTCTGGATGAGAAAATCTATTATTTTTCCTACACCTTATTATCGCATGACATAGACTTACAGACTGTAACATGTAGGCAGGACTCTACAGACAATTAATAATCTATAGTCTGGCCATATGAATAATGCATACCTCTCTGGTGAGGATTATTCCATTAAAATCTTTTAAACTTTTTTAAGGTGCCGAATAGAACACAGCACCTCACCTCTTTTCTCCCATTTTATCCAGCAATTTTTCTCTTGAAAACAATTATGCAACAACCAACAAACCAAACAATATCAGCTATTGCTTCCTGTAGTATGTATTAAAAAACAATAAACCAAACAATGCAAAAAATAGCACGTCATTGACATTTAAGTTTTCAACGTGAGCATGGCCCTGGCCTGGAGGCAGAAATATTTGCAGGCTTTGTCGATTTTGCATTTGTACACACGTTGGAATGTTGACTTTCAGACATGCATGCATAAACAAGTTGGAAGGGTAAAAAGCTCGTTCTAGACAACTAAACTTATTGAGACAGTACATTCACTGCAAAATATCCATTCATTACGCACTCCTTAAAGTATGCTTAAATGTTTCAGGACAGTAAAACTAGATTTCAAAGTCAATTTGCTAGTAATTTTATAATTGTAGTAAGTTGAATCAGCCCCATCCCAGTGCATACTCATATCTGTGAGGCAAACATGTGGTGTCGATGGCGAAAAACAGTAACTGTTGTTTGTTTTGTATCGCAGGCTGGTTCTAACTCTTCATTGATTCTACCCAAAAATAAAGGGTTTCTTACTTCAGGGAGCTTGTTTCTGAGCTATTTAAAAACACTTCAAGTATGAAATGATGACAGAAATGTGCTTGATGAAAGAAATTGTAGTAAATGTCAATATCGCACAGAATTAGTTTATATTTCCTCATGCAAAATATTTTTGTTTAGCCGCCCCGAAATTGCATTGACCAACATCGTGGCGCACAACTTAACTTACACTCAAACGCGTTCACTATGTTTAGACCAGTAAAAAGTCTCAATAAATTTCCTTAGAATGAAAAAAAGTTTTCCGAGAAAGTTCAGTAAAAAAATTAATGCTCACCCTGTGTGCGTATGCCATGTGCCAGGTGACGTTGAACGTGGAGCCGGCCAGTAGAGTTGTCGTCGGGCCCATACCTGAGGGAACAAACAACCATTTATTTAGCTTTAAACATGTTTATAACGATTGACATAACAGGTGACTATCATTATGACATTAGACTAAGTTTTCACTGGAATGAATTAGGGACTTACCCCAAATTTTCGGCTGTTCATTCAAATTCATTCCAGTGTTGGAAGGAATGTTTAGTCTTTATTTCATAATGACTTGTACCAACACAGATGAACTTTCATGCTTAAGTGACTATCATGATCACCTCTTCAAGATGTCAAACCTGAGACCAGACTGTAAGGTTTGAACCACTCACACCGGGAAGGACCACTTTGATATGTGTGATGGGTTTTTTAACGTGTTCAAGGTCAAACACGGGACCTCTGCGTTACGTACTATCCAAGAGAACGTACCTAACCGAAGCTAGGTTAGGTACTTCTATTGCGTATTAGTATTACTTTACTGTATGTTTAAAGGATGCTGGGGGGGGGGTGATGGGCATTTATGTAGGTCAGGTTCAATAGTCTTCAAGAACGAGCTTCAAGGTTGCTGAAGTACAGACGACGTTATTACAAAAATTCTCCATTAATAATTGATAATAAAATATTTTCTATAGCCTTTTATGATATCGACGCAGACGAGGATTAAAGAAATTGCACGCAAGGTTGTCGATACTACTAGTACTTAAAGTACTTTACTTGGCTGAGATCAGTCGGTAATATTGCCTAGCCCTAACATGTAGCACTGCTACACACGAACTATTAAATCAACTAAGGACAAGCAAATATCCTTGCATGAACTTTGGACGTTTTTTTCATGACCACTAACTACCAAGATATTCATCACAGGAGCTTTCACCCGATACAAGCTCTCCATAGGGCATGGAGGCAAATTTGACCCTCTATCTATGGCCGGCTAACTTAACCGGCCAACTACATTGATTTTGAAGCCGATTTCTACTATTTATTCAGCCTGCAAAGGAGTCTGGTGGAGAGTAGCTAGAAGAAACCACCGCGCCCATAGATGACCCTAACAGGCCGTAACAAAGGTCAATGGCATTTTCAGGAGGCTTAAGCCCCTCCCACAAATATCCGCTTTACCTGGAAGAAGAGAACGTTGACCCTTCCCTGTTAACTCTACTGTATCAACAATATCTTGTTTTCTTGTGACGTGTGTGCCAGTCATTGCCGTACTGGGACCAGGCTGGTACCGTGTGACGTTTTGTTGTGTTAACGTTATATAACGGACGACAACACCTGAGCTCCTTGTGGTGCTTCCCCGAATTTTCACCGCCATTTCCTGCTGCACGTCCCCTTTCCCAGGCCGGGCTATTGTTTCATGTTTACTAGGTCAACAAACACGGTCCGGATCAGGGTTTGAGGCTTTACAACGCAAGTTCAAATACAGTAACGTTTAGCCAAATAAGGCAAATAATTGGAGTTTGGTTCCCGTTGAGTTCTATACTACAAGACTTCGGTAAGTAAGACTAGCAAAGCAAGACTTTAAGGCACCTAATGTAATTTCAGGTCGGCAGACTCGATTTTCGAAGTCAATTTTCAGGTTATTCCAAGGATTTGTCTACATACATGTATGTGGTTTAATGTAGTAAGTTTAATCAACCCTATCCCGTAACATACTGATATCTGTGAGGTAAAAATGCGATATCACTGATGGAAAACGGTTGCTTGTTTTGTATCGTAGACTTTTAATTATTTGTTACTGGATGAAATTACAAGGGATGCCAGCATAAAGTGGAACACAACATTCGTTGGCCTGCATGGTCAATCTTTGCCGAATTCCACCACTCTAAGCGAGAAAAACCCAGACCACTTAAAAGGCATATAAGCCGGACCCTACCTAAATCTCCAAAGCAAATCTTTTCGTGCTGAAAAGACAGTATGAAATTGGCTTGACAGTATCCATTTCCCATACAGTTACCATTGCTGACGTTAAAAAAACACTACCAAAAAAAAAAAGATAGCCCGATAAAACACGCCAAAAATACTAAAGCAAGCCGAGGCCCAAAACTCTGCTTGGAGAGTAGCACACATCTGCTTGAAGGAGATCAGAGCCTATTCAGTTTGCTTACCCGTGCGGTATAAGTAGTGTTCACTGAACTGACATTACCGAGTACTTGAAAACCTTGTTGCCTTTTGCTAATGGCTCTTTTTTTTCTGCCGACATCGCCGGCTGGTACGGCTTGTTCTTCGAGTTGAATTACTTTATGTTGCACCGGATGTAAGAATAAAAGAATATTTTCGAAAAAATATCAAAATGTACTTGAACTGTGGCTGTATTAAGTTGAATGTCACTGGCAAAAAATGGTTGCTTGTTTCGTATCGTAGATTGATTCTAGTTATTTACTGGTGGTACCAAAAAACAGTTACTCCTCTCAGGTGGCTTGTTTTGGGGCTATTTTAAACGCTTCAAGTATGAAATGATGACGAAAATGTGCTAGGAAATGGCAGTCATTGTCAATGTCAGACAGATTTCCTCATCCAGAATCATTTTTGTATTGCCACCATAAAATTGTTATCAAATAAAGGCTAAGAAGTACCAAATGCAGTCACTAGTAGTGTTCTAAGCTCCAGCTCGGCCAATTTGAAGAAACACGGACAAAGGCTTTCAAAAACCAGACCAGCAACTTTGGACAAAATGGCGTCGCGCACACGATCATAGCCAGTAACCCTTTTGAAGTTAACCGTGCCTTTTCTCCAATGTTAACGTCGCTTCAGCTCTCATTCATATAATCATAGATTTTTGTCACACAGGGACACTATTTCTAGATCTGTATGTCTATAGAATCTATTGTACACTAAAACCTTAAAATACAGTATTAACTGTCATGATCCATGTGGCTTTGGGCTCGACAAAGAAGTCAGACATGTACGAAATCTCCAATCAGGTCTTTTGGTAGCTGAAAACACAGTATCAAATCGGCCAGGCAATATCCATTTGCCAGGGAGTTACCATTTGGGCTGGCGTCATTAATACCGGAACAAAAAAAAGGAAGCATGGCACGGAAAACGTTTAAAAGCACGTCAAAAACAAAGCTTAAACCTCTGCTTGGAGAGTAGGACAGACGGTCACGTCCAGACGCACCTGCCCTCTTCTTATTGTTTAGTTCTAAGAAGCGATATTCTGTACATGGGAGGTAGACAATAGAGGCTCAGTCACTAGTAGTCATAACCGTGCGAAGCTAAGCCTAGCCTTCACCAGACTAACATCGCGGTTAAAAAAACAGTAAAAAATTGCAAAAACATTTAAAGAAATAACTTAAGGTAGAATAATTGGCCAGTGAATTTTGAAGTAGTCACTTGCCCGCGCAGTTTGAAGGGGAAATTTATCTTTCCCTGTGGACTGACTCTCCTGGTAAATTGTTCCCTTCTTTCCCGAATTCTATGATCCGTACCCCCATAGGAAGGCCTGGTGGAGGATAGTCTAAACATCTACTGACCGCTAATTGCGAAATAGCCGTTTTGAAAAGCACTAAAGGGAGAGGTTCTTCTTAGACTATGTTCAATGTTAGGTAAGTAATTTTTAGTTTAAACCATTTACAATTAGCCTCGCCTAAAACCCCATCCATCCATATATGTGACGTCACCTAGAGATCAGACGGATCAACATTCGGCTCTACGGTTGGCTGATAGTCGTGACCGGATCTTACGCGTTTAGTCGTGTTTTGGGCGTGAGGGAATGATAAAGGGAGTGACGGGACAAAATATGAAACAGGGGCCATTACCACACTACACGAATTCCTATCTTTAAACATACCTTCCGCCGCGCCGCGTGCCTGCGAAGCTGGTGTGTTAGGCCGAAGGGCGGTTATACCAGCTATACTGATACAGATACAGATACCTTAAAACATGCGTAAAGGTACGCACAAAGAACCATTCTTTAAGGTGGCCAGGCAGTATCCAATAAGAAAAACAGCATGTTCTCTGTCTATTTGGGCAGTTTAAAACTACTCTTTCTAGTCTCCTCTGATCGAAGCCTGGTAGAGGCTACCGTTGCTCTACGTGCATCTAATTATGTCTTCGAGATGGGAGATAAAAATCTAAGACGACAATCTGATGCAAAGAATTAGAACGGAACACAGGTACACAAAAGAATCTAATTTGAAGCCTGAGACCTCTCAGTCTACAATACTTCTTTAAAACACAATGTTTCTTGACTAATTAATGGATTAGAGAAGTTATGGGCCAACAAATGCAGGGACTGTGTTGTCTCCACGACTTCAAGAACATGAACATAAGTTCGTCTTAAGCCTGAAGACGATTACAAGGCTTAAACGACGTCGTCATTGTTCGATCTTTTAAGGAATAACAGTTCCTCCGGGCAAATTACTTCCGGAGATAGAGTCGAAAACAATTTCACCTGTCTTCAATACAGGACGCTGTATCAATTTCATATAAACGGCATTTATTATTAATAAGTTACTGTCTCTGGTACCATAACACCTGTGGTACGTCTACAGCAAATATAACGAGTATGAAAACATGGCATTAAGTATGTATGTAAAAGAATTATTTTAGATTTTTTTTAGTTTGTCCATGTCCTTAACAAGTTCCTAAAACAGGGACACTCCCATACACAAACTGTACCCGGACCACTACAGAGCTACATCAAGCGATAGACCGTGTCTCTGAGCTTGAAAAGGTTTGTGGCGGCAGGAGCTACGTTTTCCTTTGCTTGGTGTTTTTAAGCTGCCGCCGAGGGCTATTGTGGTGATCGCAGTCCGTAGCCAGAGAGTAGTTGAACACCGTGTTCGGTGGTGAAACGTGAAACCGGTGTTACAAGGTGCGGAGTCGGCAGCCAGCCAAGCTCTGTCGCAACTCGGCTGCGTTCTACTAGCTAACGCCCTCCGTGAGTTTTATGGACACTTCTTTACAATTCTCTCGGTATTTTCACTGACTGCAATTACGCTCTTGAACACACGCTCATAAAACCGAGAAGGAAGCGATTCACAAAAATATATGTGGTTCAAGTGCAATCAGCAAAAAATAAAGACTTCTTGAAGAAAATAACCTTCTAACATCCCCACTAAGTATGCAAACAAGTATGTCAGTTGTACGCAAAAAGAAGGTAGATATACAGAAACGTATATCTTTAATATATATATACAGATATGATAGATAAAGATCGTACCGGGTCCCACGCCGCAGGGTCCTTGGGTTCGAGTGTTGTCCAAAAAGTCGAAGGCGTAGCGTCGAGCAGGCGGGAAGGTAAGGGCAATGTGGGCGGACGTCAGGGCGACCAGGCCCGCCAATACCACCAAGCCTACACGGTACCTCATCTCGTAGCTTTGAGGAACGTTGACGAAGGCTGTATTCTTCTGTAAGGATGTGTTGTACTGAGTAGCTGGATGTAGTGCACGCTCGTGCAGACGACAAGTGCACCCTGTAGCTATCCCTGCGTATTTGTACTGAGCCAGGTAAGTTGACTACTGTGTACATGCACACCTTTGACAGCTAATACAATAGGACGAGTCCAACTCAGCACGCGTAGAGGGGGGCAACAGGTGTGTTCGTGTGAAAGAATTCGTGTGGGCGTGGCGTGCAAGTCTCTCGGACCACTGCCTAACAAACGTTCGTCATCGTCAGTACGTATATCGATTTCGTCTTTCCGTTGAAAATGCCGACTCATCCTGACATTGTGAGAGATATTGGTACTTGGTACATGACAACCATGCGTCACTCATTTAAAATTTGCACCAACCCACATGACCGGTATACGTACAACTGCAAAACCGGTTCTAGGTTGATTTGTAAATATCACTGCACAAAATCCATTCTTTATACGCACACCTTAGACAATGCGTAAAGGTGGCGTTTACTCCATTGTGCGTACCTTTACGAACGTTTTAAGATGTGCATGCATAAAGGTGGGATTTCGCGCAGTGTTATGTGGCGTATGGACATGGGATTCATAGTGGTAAGTCCAACACTAAGGCCATTTGGATTTGATTGTATGGATGACATCCCAGAACTGATGCAAGCGTGCGAATAAAAAAGTTGTGCAAAAAAGTTGCCTTCTGAAGTTATGAAATCTACGTGGTCATGAAGGTTGGACAAATGACTAAACACACAGAGTATGGTATGGCGAATAATAGCTATATAGACTCTTTACTTTCATTTCTTTCAGCCATTCTCTCTTGGATATCCTCCTTTATAACAGGCGAAAAGCTGGGCGACAGTGTTTGTACTTGATGGCAAGTCACATTGTCTTGTAGGTCACGGTTCACTGTTAGGTCTTTCGTGTGTATTCGGTAGTGACGGAACTCAGTCACGACTTTCTGGTATTCGATATGGGTGATTAAACTCCCAGTGCCAGATCATTGTTTGACTAAAGCTGGTTTTATACTCAGCTTTACAGGAGGTTCTACGCCTCATGATTATTACATTAACTCCCCAAGCGGATGTGCGTATGTAGTAGGGTTTGGCTCAGATTCTTACCCGTGTTTGTGTGTCATTTTCTACGTTTATTCCTAGCTCTACAGCAAAGAATGTGGCAATTTTGTCATTAGATGATATTGCAGGATGAATGTCATTTTGTAGTCGACTGTGCATTGTATAGAAATGAGAGAAATATCCCCTAGAATTGTAAACACACACACACACTCACGCACGCACACACATACTCACACACGTGCGCACACAATAACCACACACACACACGCACGCACACGCACACACACACGCACGCACGCACGCACGCACGGACGCACGCACACACACACACACACACACACACACACACACACACACACACACACACAC